TATATGTATGTATATATGTATATGTATATATTTATATGTATGTATATATGTATATATGTATGTATATATGTATATATGTATATGTATATATGTATATGTATGTATGTATGTATATATGTATATATGTATATATGTATATATGTATATGTATATATGTATATATGTATATGTGTATATGTATATATGTATATGTGTATATGTATATATGTATATGTATATGTGTATATGTATATATGTATATGTATATATGTATATGTATATATGTATATATGTATATGTATATATGTATATATGTATGTATATATGTATATATGTATATATGTATGTATATATGTATATATGTATATATGTATATATATATGTATATATGTATATGTATATATGTATATATGTATATTTGTATATGTATATATGTATATATGTATATATGTATATATGTATATATGTATATATGTATATGTATATATGTATATATGTATATGTATATATGTATATATATATATATATATATATGTATATATATATATGTATATTTGTATATATATGCTCATATATGTATATATATATATATAGGTCCTGGCCATAAAATTAGAATCTCATGAAAAAGTTTTTTTTTTTTTTAATAATTCCATTCATAAAGTGAAACATATATGTTTTTTTTCATTCAACCTTTATTTAAACAGATAAATCACATTGAGCCTCGAAGACTCATTTACAAGTGAGACCTGTTTGGACAGACAAAAACAGTGGTTAACTAGACACATGTTATATTCATTCATTACACACAGGCTGATGAAATGTTTATTTATTTTAATGTTGATTATTATAACTGAAAACTAATGACAACCCCAAATTCAGTATCTCAGAAAATTAGAATATTACTTAAGACCAATTATAAAATGCAGCCTTTTTTGGGAAAAGCACAATCCTGGACCAATTTCAATCTGGTTTTAGATCCTGTCATAGCACAGAATCTGCATTACTGAGAGTTCATAAAGACATAGCTCAGGCTGTTGATCCTGGGTGCGCAGTAGCTCTGATGCCTCTCGACTTTACAACTGCCTCTGACACTGTGGACCACTATGTTCTTCTGTGTTGCATCCATGATTTTGTTAGGATTCGTGGCACAGCTCTGAAGTGGTTAACGTCTTATTTATCTGACAGAACATTCTCTATCTTGCTCAATGGCTCCTCTTCCTCGACAGCCCCTCTTCTGTGTGGGGTGTCCCAGGGTTCCATTTTGGGCCCTCTGCTCTTCTCCTTGTACATGTCGACAGTTGGATCTATTATAAGACACCACAATGTCAACTTTCATTTTTATGCAGATGATTTGCAAATCAATTTACCATTAGGGCCAGGATCCAGTAATCCAATGCTTTCTCTCTGACTGCATCTCTCAATCAAACATTGGCTAAACAAAAACTTTCTGTTTTTAAAAGACAATAAAAAAGAATGGATTTTACTTGGTGACAAAGATGCAACCGACCTGGGAAATTTGAATATTAACTTCAGTGACTGTGTGAAAAACCTTGGGGTGACCTTTAGTAAGGATTTACACTTTGACATACATAACACCTCTGTTGTCCGGTCAGGATTTTTTTAGAGTCAGAGTCAGTCTTTATTGTCATTCGCACCACATGTGGTACATGTGGTGGGACGAAATTATGTACACAGGGTCCCAGTTACATCCAACAATAAAAATGTAAAAGAAAAACAATGATAACATCTAAGATATGAACGAAAAAAAACTTCAACTAAAAATACACTAAGCACTTTTTTTCTCTTTTCTTCTTTCGGCTGCTCCCTGCGTTGGGATCGCCACAGCAAACTAAGTCACACAAAGACTTGACAGTTATTTTTTATGCCGAATGCCCTTCCTGATGCAACCACAGACCACTGAGCATACCACAGCCCTCTGTGTGGAGCAGAGAGCTGCTATCTAAGACTCCCAGAGGAGCAGATGGTTGGGGTTAAAGTCCTTGGTCAAGGGCCCAGAGTGGGATGAATGAGGGTGGGGGCAGATGTGGGGGCTTCACCTACCCCACCCACATTTTTGATGTTGGTACCAGGGCTTGAACCGGTGATCTTCCGATCACAGGCTCACCTTTTCTAACCTCTACGCCACCACTCTCCCTAAGCACTAATAGCATAAAAACATTACGTTGAACTGAACAGCAGCACGAACATGAGCATGAGTCTGTGTGAGCAGATGAGCATGCATGAACACATCAACATGAAACAGATCAGCAGCAACATTGAAACAGATCAGCAGCAACAAGATGTGATTTTTCACAGTGGTTATTCTGGTTAGAGATTCATGAGTCTAACAGCTTCAGGGTAGAAGCTGTTCCTCAGTCTAGTGGTTCTACACTTAATGCTCCTCAACCTCCTTCCTGAGGGGAGCGGGGCAAAAAGTATGTGTGCTGGGTGAGTGGGGTCCTTGATGATGCATGTGGTCCTCTTCATGCATCTGGAGGTGTAGATGTCTGTGGTGGGGAGACTGACTCCAACATCTTCTGTGCAGCCTTCATCACTCTCTGCAAAACTTTTCTTTCTGCAGCTGTGCAGCCTCCATGCCACACATTGATGCTGGAGCACAGGATGCGCTCCACTGCACTTTGAGATTTTTGTTAATGAAAAGTGCGTTACAAATTAAATTCATTATTATTATTTATTACCACTGCACACCTGTAGAAGGAGGTGAGGACTGAGCTTCCCAGACCAGCTCGTCTCAGCCGCCTGAGGAAGTAGTCTCTGAACTTTCTTCATCAGGCTAGTAGTACTGTTGCTCCAGCTGAGGTTGTCATTCATGTTTACACCCAAGTACTTGTAGCTGGAGACCACTTCCACTGCAGATCCTCTTATGTTCAAGGGGATTTAGGTGTGTTTGCGCCTTCTGAAGTCCACAATCATCTCCTTTATCTTCTTTACATTGATGTGAAAGTTATTCTCTTTGCACCAGCTCTCCAGGTGTTCTACCTCTTGCCTGTAGCTGGACTCATCGTTTGTGATGCATCCCACCACTATCATCTGCAAACTTTACAATCTGACAGCCTGGATGGGTAGCTGCACAATCATACGTGAGCAGAGTAAATGGGAGAGGGCTCAAACACATGAGGAGAGCCAGTGCTGAGGGTTATGGTGGAGGAGAAGTTGCGGATCCTCACTGACTGTGGACCATTTAAGAATTCTAGTACCCAGTTGCAAATGGAGGGGCTTAGTCCTAGTGTGAATAGTTTTTCCATCAGGGTTTGGGGAATCATGGTGTTTGAAGGCAGATGTGAAGTCCACAAAGAGCATACAGACATAAGAGTCTTTCTGCTCCAGGTGGTTGAGTGCAGTGTGGACCACAGAGGAGATGGTATCCTCTGTTGATCGGTTCTGGCGGTATGCATACTGATGAGGGTCCTCGTTGATGTTGATGGTTGTTTTGATGTGGGTCATGGCCACCATGGTTTTGAACCAGTTTGACATGACTGTCTACGAGGAAGAAGGCCGGCTCCAGAGGAGGGGGCATGCCAAAAACACCATCTTAGCACCAACATAACTGGTTTTTTCCACTTTTGAGTAAGCTATTTGGGGGAAGAATCAGTTTTGTGTTGTGTTTCCTTGACTGATGAAGCCTACCGGATGGAAGGTGAAACGTTTCAGAAAAAAAAAAACTGTCTAGATGACCTGACTGAAAATTGTTGGATGGTTCATGACTAGTTTTTTTAAGCATTTAGCGACAATCGGGGTGAGGGCCACTGGCCAACAGTCATTCAGACCAGTCACTGTTGAGGTTTTTGGGACTGGGATGATGGTGGCAGTCTTCAGGCAGGTGGGAACTGTCTCCAGGGTAAGTGAGGTGTTAAAGATGTCTGCCAGCATCTCGCAGAGCACACACATTCTTTCACACTTTTCCGAGGATGTTGTCTGTGTCGGATGCCTTGTGCGGATTAATCCTTCTAAAGGTATTCCTTTCTTCTGCTGAGGTTACACTGAGATGCTCTTCATCTGGTGGTAAGGTGAGTCTGATGCTGAGTGGTCTGTTTGGGTCTTCAAAGCATGCATAGAACTTGTTGAGGGCATCAGGCAGAGATGGGTTTAGAGATGAGATTTATTTTTCCTCTCAACCAGCTGGTCAAAGCAGATGGCCGCTTGTCCTGAGCCTGGTTCTGCTGGAGGTTTCTTCCTTTTAAAAGGGAGTTTTTCTTTCCACTGTTGCCACTTTGCTTGCTCAGGATGGGAGACTGCAATGAAGCCAAGATTCAACTTGTCTGCTGGATTCCTTAGATAGAGAACTTTACTAATTGGCTTTTATGTATGTGAATGTTTCTGTAAAGTCCCTGAGACAACTTTGATGTGATTTGGCGCTATATAAATAAACTGAATTGAATTGAATTACGTCTTTTTAAAAAGGTCAAACCCTTTTTGAACCATTGCGACTTGGAGAAGGCTGTTCATGCTTTTATCAGTTCTAGACTTGACCATTGTAATACTCTGTATGTTGATGTACCTCAGTCATCAATGATCTACACCCAGCTTGTTCAAAATGCAGCAGCTTGCCTTTTAACCAATACTCGTAGACGGGACCACATCACACCTGTTTAACTCTCACTACATTGGCTTCCTGTCCGTTTTAGAATAGATTTTAAACTTTTATTTGTTTTTAAAGCTCTGAATGGCCTCGCTCCTCCTTATATAACTGAGTTGTTAAGTTTCCGCACCCACTCCAGGTTTCTGAGGTCAGACAGCTCCTGCTCTCTGTTCCAAGGACAAAATATAAACGCTGGGGTGATCGTGCCTTGTCTGTGGCCGCACCTCGACTCTGGAATAAACTCCCACTTGATCTACGTCAGATTAATGAACTTGGCCCTTTTAAATAGAAGCTTAAGGCTTTTTCTTTTATTCCAACAGGCTTTTAGTACTTAAATATGTGGTGAAATTTCTGGTTTTCTTTTTGTTATTTTGTTGTGTTTTTCTTGCTTTTAACTTGATGTCATGTTAAATACTGTTTATGTTAAGCACTTTGGTCACCATCACCTTGGTTGTGTAAAGTGCAATAGAAATAAATAAATGAAACGAAATAAAAATAAATAAAAAATGTTTTTTAAAAATGTTGTCAAACTGAAAAGCATGAACATGAAAAGTATGAGCATGTACAGCTCTCAATACTTAGTTGGGGCTCCTTTTGCCTGGATTACTGCAGCAATGCGACGTGGCATGGAGTCGATCAGTCTTTGGCACTACTCAGGTGTTATGAGAGTCCAGATCACTCTGATAGTGGCCTTCAGCTCTTCTGAATTGTTGGGTCTGGCATTTTGCATCTTCCTCTTCACACTACCTTATAGCTTTTCTATGGGGTTAAGGTCAGGTGAGTTTGCTGGCCAATTAAGAACAGAATACCCTGGTCCTTAAACCAGGTACTGGTAGCTTTGGCACAGCATGCAGGTGCCAAGTCCTGTTGGAAAATGAAATCCGCATCTCCATAAAGTTGGTCAGCAGCAAGAAGTATGAAGTGCTCTAAAACTTCCTGGTAGATGGCTACGTTGACCTTGGACCACAGAAAGCACAGTGGACCAACACCAGCAGATGACATGACACCCCAAACACTGACTGTGGAAACTTGATACTGGACCTCAAGCAACATGGATTCTGTGCCTCTCTTCTCTTCCTCCAGACTCTGGGACCTTGATTTCCAAAGGAAATGCAAAATTTACTTTCATCAGAGAACATAATTTTGGACCACTCCGCAGCAGTCCAGTCCTTTTTGTCTTTAGCCCAGGTGAAATGCTTCTGATGTTGTCTCTTGGTCAAGAGTGGCTTGACAAAGATTGTGACAGCTAAAACCCATGTCTTGCATATGTCCGTGTGTGGTGGTTCTTGAAGCACTGACACCAGGTGCTGTCCACTATTTGTGAATCCTCCCCACATTTTGAAATGGGTTTCGTTTCAGAATACCCTCGAGGGTGCCTTTAGCCCTATTGCTTGTACACTTCTTTTTACCACATCATTTTCTTCCCTTCGCCTCTCTATTAATGTGCTTGGACACAGAGCTCTGTGAACAGCCAGCCTCTTTAGCAATGACCTTTTGTGTCTTGCCCTCCTTGTGCAAGGTGTCAATGGTCGTCTTTTGGGCAAATGTCAAGTCAGCAGTCTTCCCCATGATTGTGCAGCCTACAGAACTAAACTGAGAGACAATTTAAAGGACTTGCAAGTGTTTTGAGTTAATTAGCTGATTAGTGTGTGACACCAGGTGTCTTCAATGTTGAACCTTTTCACATTTTAATTTTCTGATACTGCATTTGGGGTTTTCATTAGTTGTTAGTTATAAACATCAACATTAAAAGAAATAAACATCTGAAATATATCAGTCTGCGTGTAATGAATGAATATAATATACAAGTTTCACTTTTTTAATGAAATTACTGAAATAAATCAACTGTTTCATGATATTCTAATTTTATGACCATCACCTATATCAGTGCTATTCAACTGACGGCTCACCAGTTGTTGTTTGTTTCTGCTGTACAGCAGTTTGGTTGGCTTTGTTGCTGTTTTAAGTACTTTATAAATAAAGTGTTATGATACGGGTATGGTATGTATTTATTGTGGGTGAAATAATAATATTCGAATTATTTGATGAATTCATTCAACCTTTATTTAGACAGGTAAATCCCATTGAGCCTCGAGGACTCATTTACAAGAGAGACCTGATTTCAACAAAGAATGATGACAACAATGGACAGTTATAAAAAGTCATACAGATTTTTTTTAAACAAATAAGATGGCAAAAAAGTAACAAACGGCTAGATTATAAGGCATAAAGGAATAAATATAAGGAATAAATAATTTTGAAGAATAAACTTGGTCACACGTGTGCCATGACATGATGCCATTTTGTTTGTGACTTTTTGACATTTGTGAAACAGAAAAATAAAAAAAATAAAAACATGTAACTGGCAACACAATCCCATTCTGACTGTCTAGAATGGACCAGTTTCTGTTGTGAGTTCAAACTGTACCTTGTGGTTTTATTTTTCCCTAACGGTAGCAGTGCTGAACTGGTAAACACAACATATAATGCTGGCTGGCTCCATGTTCATTACTCGCTGGTTCATTAAGTTTAGCTCATATTTACCACCAAAATACAGCAGGAGTTCTGCCAATGATGCACTTCCTTACAAACCTTTGAAGCAGTGCCTTGGCTTCAGCGTTTTGGAGCTTCAGATGTCTAGTAACTTTTGGTTACTCAAACTAATGAAGCTCTGACTCAGGGCTTCTGAAACACTGTCATCTTTCTGATGCATGTTTCAGAGCTTCAGCTTCCACTCATCACATGCAGGTGACAAATTTCCACAGTGAACCTTTTCCACCTCCTACAACCTTTTTGAAGGACAATTGGGAAATAAATACAAATTAACAAAAGAATAAGAGCGTAGATTTTCTAGAATTAGCTTCAACTGCAGGTCTCTCAATGAGCCCAAACCGATTAAGCAGAACCCTAAGCTCACCGGAACCAGCAGCATTTACATTCAAACCAAATGGAACCGGACAGGACCGGAGCAGAGCGCATCCTACCGTTGGACCGACGGACAATGTTCTCCAAGAATGTGTTCTGAGGGGCAACGAGACCCCGACGTCCTCCTGCCATCCTGCAGTCCTGCAGCGTGTGCACAAACACCGTGCTCCTCACATGTTGCAGGAAGCGCGAGCCTCATCCAAGGGGCAGAGCAGGAGCTCGTGCTGTCAGAGCGTGCGTTGTCAGCAGATGGCTGCAGCATGAGCTCTGACTGAGGGGAGAGAGTGCGTGTGACTATGCACACAATACATCACCCGAGCGACTGAAATGAATAACCCCAGATAAAACCTGCTGAACAACACACAACTATATTTATATTTTCACTCTCATATTTGTGTATGCGTGCATGTACGCATGTGTGTGTGTGTGTTTGTATGATAGACAAAGAGTGGCACATCAAATCTAATCAGGCATCTGTGATTTAAGCATAGGATATTTTCAAACTTGCATTTTGAAGCTACATTTTGATACAGCAATCATCCTGGTCTCATAAGTGGATAAGTATATCCTTCCCATCCATCCATTATCCCTTTACCCGCTTATTCCATTTTGGGTCACGTCGCTGGTGCCCATGTCCAGCAATCACTGTGGGAGGGGCGGGGGACACCCTGGACAGGTCGCAAGTCCATCACAGGGACACATAGAGACAAACGAGACAAACAACCATTCACTCTCTCACTCACACCTAGGGACAGTTTAGAGTTACCAGTCAGTCCAACATGCATGTTTTTGGTCTGTGGGAGGAAACTGGAGCACCCGGAGAAAACCCACGCATGCCCGGAGAGAACATGCAAACTCCACCCAGAAAGGCCCCTGGACTGGGGTTTGAACCAGGGACCTGCTCGCTGAGAGGCAGCAGCTCTACCAGTTGCACCACCGTGCTGCCCGACTTGCTATAATTTATTTATTTAAATTTTGATGTTGCTTTTAAGGTGAATAATTTATTTGTTTGGTTTAATTTTATATTTGTAAATTGTAATGTATTATTTTGGTATTAAATAATTTGTATTTATTGTTTTGTTTGTTTGCGGAAGAATCTAACAGTAGTGGCCAGCCGCCGCACTGCCACTTGAGCCTACATTAAAAGCCCTCCGCTACTTTAATTAGTCCCAGCTCATTCTGAACTTTGAGCGGAAAAAAATTCTCTCAGTGTAATTTTTTTATGTATTTCGCCACAGTTGGATAACAAAGGATGGTATAATTGTTAATTTGTTTGTTGTTTGGCATGAAGTGAGCGTCTCCAGACGGCGCGGAGGGAGCGAAAAGCGACGAGGACATGGCGCAGCTGCGGCGTCAGAGCACCGAGCAGCACGAACCGTCCGGTCCCCGCTAACATTTACACCGAGACCCAGCGCCCCATAACGGTCACAGTTCCTGCAGAGATGCCGGGCATGATGGATAAAGGCTCGGAGTATTTAGGGAAAGGGCGCTCGAACGGCACCAAGAGTCCGTCCAACGCCTCTAACGGACATTTTTCCGACGAAAGCGGCAGCGACGACGAACACGGTAGTAGCCTCGAACACCTCCTTCTTGCCCCCCCGTCGACGTTTGCAAGGTTTTTATTCACCGATAAATACCTTCCGGTTTCTCTGTCTTCCAGATGTGGGAATGCGAGTTGGAGCCGACTACCAGGCAAACATTCCCGAGTTTGATCCGGGTAAGGTTGTCCATGTTCCTCAGAGGTCGGGCGGTGGTAGCCTCGGTCTCTGCTCGGTTCAGGCTCTGTTTTTTTACTGACATCTGCTTTTATTCACTGTTGGAAAGAGTTTATACAGAGTAAACAAACCGCAGGAACTTAACTTTAACAGTTTGTAACACGATGACTTATCCAGTTCTCGTGATGCTGCTGATTAATAGTCCAGATAGAAAAGTCTAACAAAGTCAAGTCAGCTTTACTAGACGTTTCTACCTGGATTATTCTGATCAGCAGATACATCAATCAGCAGATCAGAAGAACTGGATAAGTGCTAGTTAGTTTCTTGTCCTGGAACATTTACTATTTTCTACACATTGTGCTGAATTATTAATTACAAATATTAATCAGTTCGATTCAGTTTATTTATATTGTGCCAAGTAACAACAGAAGTCATCTCAGGGACTGAACAGAAACATTCATATTTAAAAATAATAATTTAACATTATTTATCTGAGGGGCAGACTGCTTTAAGTTTAACTCCATCACAAAACACTCATCTTGAACAAGCATAAAGGCGACAGTGGAAAGAAAAAACTCCCTCATGAGGAAGAAACCTTTAGCAGAACCAGAGTCAGAGATTCTTTATTGTCATTCACACCTCATGTGGTACATGTGGTGGAGCGAAATTATGTACACGGGGTCCCAGTTACATCCAACAATAAAATGTCTAAGAAAAACAGTAATAACATCTAAGATATGAACTAAGAAAAACATCAACTAAATATACACTAAGCACTCATAACATAAAACATTGAACATCAGCACAAACATGAACATGAGTCTGTGAGCAGATGTGCACGCATGAACACATCAACATTGAAACAGATCAGCAGCAACATGAAACAGATCAGCAGCAACATGATGTGGTTTTTCACAGTGATTATTCTAGTTAGAGATTCATGAGTCTAACAGCCTCAGGGTAGAAGCTGTTCCTCAGTCTAGTGGTTCTACACTTAATGCTCCTTAACCTCCTTCCTGAGGGGAGTGGGGCAAAAAGTGTGTGTGCTGGGTGAGTGGGGTCCTTCATGATGCAGGTGGTCCTCTTCCTGCATCTGGAGGTGTAGACCAGGCTCAGGATAAGCGGCCATCTGCTTTGACCGGCTGGGTTTGGTAGGAATAGATGCACAATGGCAGGTCAAGAATCACATGTTAAGATAGAAATAGTATCAAATGAAAACTATTCAATTTTAACAATTCGTTTAAGGAAATGAGGTCAATTTGTCCTCTAGTAGTCTAAGTCTAGCAGCATAACAAGCCAACACTAACTATAGCATTTATCAAAAAGGAAAGTCTTAATCCCAGTCTTAAAACTGGACAATGTGTCAGCCTCATGGACAGAAACTGGAAATTGGTTCCACAAGAGAGGAGCCTGAGAACTGAAGGATCTTCACATTCTGTTTTTGGAAACTCTAGGAACCACGAGTAAACCTGCAGTCTCAGAGCGAAGTGCTCTGTTAGGAAAATATGGAACAACAAGATCTCGAATATGATGTGGAGCTAGGATGTTGAGAGCTTTGCAGGTTAGAAGTAAGATTTTGAATTCAATTCTGGATTTGACAGGGAGCCAATGGAGGGAAGCTAAAACTGGAGAGAGATGGGGCTGGGTACCTTTCTAAAACATCGGTACCGGTGTCGGTACCTTCACTTCGATGTCGGTTCCTGGACGGTTCTTTTTTCGGTACCAGTTTTGTAATTAATTAATTAATATTACTTCTAAGAAGAATAAAATTATGCTACACATTAAAGTACAAATTGTGAGTTTTATTTTTTAACTTGGATGCTTTTCTATTCCATGCAGTTTTCTTACATTAAAATAAACAAATAATTTTCAGGTCAAAAGACCAGTTTCAAACCAGTGACACGTCAGTGTCTAATGCTCACTGCTACACACTGAGGACCTTTTCACTTAACAGTTTTTCTTCAGAAACATCAACATGTCTGTTTTCTCTGGACACAAACTAGCCCACTCCTGGCTGATGGTGTCTCCAGCAGTAGAAAATGTTCACTCTGAGGGTGTGGATGATGCTTGTTTCACACACAGATACCTGGTTGTCAGTTTGATAGCACTGACATAGTGTCCCTCACATTCCACCAGCAGGTCACTGGATTCACTGAGGTTAGGGTTGATGCAGACTTCTGCACCTCTTTGTCTCTGCCTGAACCTTCTCTGTGGTTTAGGGCTCTTATCATCTCCCTAAATGACATTGGAACAAAACATCAACAATAACATGGTTGTGTTATTATTAAAAACTATTATCTAGGCTTGGTGATAAAGGTTTAACTGGTCAACAACATCCTTTACAGTTTACTTACCTCCACCATGCAGCCTCCACTGTAGAAAAAGCAGCAAACATTTAACAACAAAGTTTGTGACTGTCCTGTGTCCCCCACCTCGCTTTTCTTTAGTACTCCTCACATCAGGGTCAGAACCTCCTGTGAGGAGAACATGAACATAAACGGTGAACATTAGTGAACTGTTTAAGCAGCTGACCGGATGGATGAACACATTTTTACAAGCTAAGCTTTATCTGTTACTGTCAATCTTTAGTTAGCTTCTGTTTTAGCTAGCTACATAGATAGCCATAAAATAAAGCTACACACTAATATCTTAAAGTTAGTGTTACATAGATCCTAGTTTAACTCACTGCGATGCACATGTTAAGCTGCAGTAATGTTAACAAACATAAACTTACCAGCTGAAATCCCAGACACAGCTCCATCTTTGGTTTTTTGATGAAGAGGAGTCCGGTCGTGGAAATAATGAATCAGGCCTTTCAACACTCACTACTACTACTACTACTACTACTATTCCTGTAGACTCCTGGTGGAGCATAGGGCTGCAACAACACCCCGCCAACGAAACTCTGTTTTGGGCGGCTCTCTTCAGCTGGGTCCACGTCACTCCGGCGGCCTTCGCTTCACTCTCAACAGATCTTCTCCACGTCTGCTTTGGTCTCCCCACTTTCCTTTTTCCCTGTGGGTTCCATTCCAAGGCTTGCCTTGTGATGTTTTCTGCTGGCTTTCTCAAGGTATGGCCTATCCAGCCCCACTTTCTCTTTTTGATGGCTTCACTGACCGGGCTTTGGCTGGTTTTTTCCCATAGTTCTGTGTTGGAGATCTTCTCAGGCCACCTGATGTTGAGAATGTGTCTCAGACACTTGTTTATGAAAGTCTGGATCTTGTTGGTGATGGTGTTGGTTACTCGCCATGTCTCGGACCCATACAGTAGGACTGCTTTCACGTTGGTGTTGAAGATGCGGATCTTGCTGCGCTGGGATAAGGCTTTGGAGTTCCAGATGGGTCGCAGAGTGTTGAAGGCGAGCCTTGCTTTGTTGATCCGGCTCCTAACATCTTCATCTGCGCCGCCGTCTGTGCTGACCACACTTCCAAGGTAAACGAAGCGGTCAGCTTCCTTGATGTCTTCTCCCTGCAGCTGCAATGGTTCTTTCTTCTTGTTGTTCAGTCGCATCACCTCTGTTTTCCTGGTGTTAATCTTCAGGCCGGTCTTGTTTGCTTCCTCGGCGAGACGAATGAGCTTGGACTGTGCATGCTGTAGCGTGTGGGACAGAAGGGTGATGTCGTCCGCAAAGTCCAGGTCCTCCAATTTTTTGGTGAAGGTCCACTGGATGCCGGTGTTGGTGCCCTCTGTTGCTCTCCTCATGATCCAGTCCATGACGATCAGGAAGATTGTCGGTGACAGCATACAGCCTTGCCTCACTCCGGTCTTCACTGTGAAGGGGTTTGTCAGCTTCCCGTTATGGATGATCTGGCAGGATGAATCTTCATATAACTGTTGGATGATGCTGATGAGCTTCTGTGGGATTCCGTAGTGCTGCATCAACCTCAACACTCACAGGCTGACTTTAATGCTGTTTAATGCTGTGACTTTCCTTCCCTCAATTGATTACGGTGACATTATTTCACATGTGTACATAATTTCGCTCCACCACATGTACCACATGAGGTGCGAATGACAATAAAGAATCTCTGACTCTGACTGATTATTTACATGAACGCTCCTACAAGAACCCTGCAGATGTTGGATGCTGTCTATCATGGTGCACTAAGATTCATAACTGGCTGTGATTATCGTACCCACCACTACACCCTGTATTCACTGGTTAACTGGACATCATTAACTTCATGCAGACTCTCTCACTGGTACATTTTCATCTTTAAATCACTTCTTGGTCTGCTGCCTTCATACATCTCCTCCTACATGTCTCTGCGTGAGTGCAGCTACAGCGTGCGCTCTCAGGACATCATTACCTGCAGTGTTCCCTCAATGAGGACTGAACTAGGCAAAAGGGCCTTCTCCTACTCCGCTCCTGTTTCCTGGAATATCTTACAAAAAGATCTGAAGCTCTCGACCTTGACCTCTCTAAGTGGCTTTAAGAATCTGTTGGACTCCTGGCAGGGACCAATGCAGACATGTTCCTGTTTTTAGTTTTCTATATTCGCCTTTGAATCTAGCTGTTTTTTTGTTTTTTGTTACCTTTTCCTTTTAGCCATCCTATTTGTAAAAAACAAACAAACAAAAAAAACAAACAAACCCTGCAGTATGACTTTTTATAATTGTTTATTTTTGTTGCTGTTGTCCAATGTTGTCATCTTTCTTTGTTGAAATCAGGTCTCTCTTGTAAATGAGTCCTCGAGGCTCAATGGGATTTACCTGTCTAAATAAAGGTTGATTGAATGCTGAGAGGAGGAGGAGGAGAGGAGGTTGTGCTCCTCTCTCCTCGCAGAAAAACATGGAGCGACTGTCCACTCATAAATTGAAGCCGTTCGACAACACACGCGCTGCACACGTGAACCCCGTTTGTGGGCGTCAACAGCACCATAGACATACATTAGACATAGATTAGGTACGGCAGCTCTACAGCTCTGGGTGTAAACACATAGTCTGTCATATGTCTGCATTTTCCCTGCCGGCATGCTGAAACCACGTGACTCATTGCAGC